AAAGTTACCGAGGTACTTTGAAATGGCGGAACAAACATCCGGTTCGGAAGCGACTAAACAAACAAAAACTAACCTATAGTTTTTGTGCAATTAAAAAAATGAATTGACCAATTTTATTTTTGTTTCAGGTATATTTTGGATTCTACTACATTGTTAAGGTAATATAGCAATTGATATTAATTAAGGTTAAGGTAAAATTGAGATAAAAATGTAATGCTATACATGTCCAAGACAGTGATTGTGAATCAGACGGCAATGGGGGTCTAAAAGTTAAGGAGATGAAGGCGAAGGTACGATTACGTGTCGTCCAATTTCGTTTGTGAATTAGCACCGATTTACGTCGATCCGACGCGCCGCATTACTCGCGAGCTCTAATCTGGATTCGACCGCCTCGTTTGGCGCCGATTCAAAATGGCTGCGCATCCGTATTTAACGGATCACATCAATATGAAGGTCGTTCAATGAAGTTATTCTTTAAAATTAGGATCTGACGTTTGACAATCACTATATTGATGGATTTTAACGTGGGATAAAAGTGTATGCTATAGATAGAGATGGACCAGCTTTCCGCATTGAAAGTCGGCTTTGTCGTTAGTGAATGCAGTTTGCAGTGTCCGAGTTCAAAAGTTCACTCGGACGAATTTTGACAATTCCTATGCCGTGAATGTGTGTTAAGTCTGTTTGTGTGGTGAGTGCAAAAACGAGTTTTCAAATCGCGTCAAGCGAATGAAATGAGTTTTAACGAATGAAATTATTCATTAGCTTGAATTATTCCGTCCGTCGTGTCACTATCCACAATGTTGAATCAAAACCAACATTGCATCTCTATTCGGCGACCATATTGCATTTTTAGACAAAAAAAAAACTTAAAAAAAGAAAAATCTGAAAAATTGCAACATCTGCAACCAAGTTTACAAATAGCACCCATATAATGATTGTTAGGTTGCATCGGGTTCGTGAAAAATTGTTCTGCACTTTCTGATCAAATCTGAAAGTGGTATTAGTAGTGTTAGTATGTTATCAATGTCGAATCACACTTTAACGCCGCAAGGAAAAAGCTCGGAAAGCTCGAAATGTTGGAAAAACTCACCTCCCGTGGGCTTTAAATTGATAGAACTGCCATTTCTGGTGGCACTCGCGGCTCTCGCTGCGTGAGATATCCCCGATCTGTTTGATTCCCGGCGGGGTGAGCTTTCATACCTTCGTCTTCGCTCAGAACTCACGCAAAGCTGCGAGCACAGTCACGCGCAGTTTTCGTACATCTTGTATTAGTTTGTCGGCCATTTTGTTCCCACTAGCGATACGTCACGTTATGTCTAAACTTCCAATTGTTTTTGCTAGCATGAAGTTTACGCAGTGTCAGGGATAGATTAATTAAATTATTAACAAAGTATAAATTGCTTGGTATTGATTTATATGTAATATTGGTTGCATACATTTTTCTAAAAGATATTTTTTACAATGAATTTGAAGATTTTATGCACAGATATTAAAATTGATGATCCTATCAATCATCGCCGCTTTACTCGTTATCATTTAAAATCTGCGTCTTCCGCGCTTTACGAGCAAATTCTTTTTAGCAAACGATTAATTTCATTTGTGTCAAATCATGGCAAGGATTATTTTCAATAGGTCAATAAATCATTTTAAAATATTTTAAAAAAGTTAAAAATTTATAATAAATATATATTATCTTCAAAATAAATAGGCAACCCAATTTATACGATGTATTTTGGTGTACGTGACGCCATATTGCAATCGATTTTTCCGCCATGTTTGCGACAAGTTGAACCGCACACAAGACGAATGGCTACGATGTCAATGACAACGTTAGAGAAACGTACGAAATTTAGCGAAACGACATGTGTTCACTTGAGCCGAATATTTATTGCGCTGTTTAACGCACACAAATCTCGAAAAAACACCGAATTTATAGCAAAATCCGAAGTCAAATTTACTTTATGTTACCAACCCTTTATTTCATGTGCAATATTAATACGTTGAGCTAATATATCCTGTAAATATCCTGTCTAGTGAAATGGGACTAGCCGACTCGAAATAGGAATAGAGATGTGTTTGGCTAATGAACTGATGAATTACATACGACACGATGTGTGTTATTCCCTGTTCCTGGCCTTCTACACCGAACACCATTGTTGACTGTTAACATTGCCCAACTTTCAAGCATATGTATATGTGTGTGTATTATGATTGCGACTTCTGACACGTCAGTGTATAACTGGATGCCTACATTATGCTGCATAACCACATTCTTGTTTCGAAATATAATATCTAATGTTTGTAGTGTACGCGCACAGCACCCAGTTCGTGAATAATTTGAATAACATGAATAACATCCTAGAATCCGGTGGTTAACATTTGTGATGAAACACAATATGCTATACAATAGTAGCTGCTGCCATCTATAATTTAAGACAATAATTCTTTGGATGGCATGACTTCAACATGGAATTAATAATGTAATAAACTGTTTAAACATATTTAAGTAGTTAATTCAAGTTGTTTATCTAGTTAGTTGATGTTGTTCCGGGGTCCTTATCGCGCTATCATCATCATGTCGTGTGAAATACGCTTATGTATCGCACGCGTACGCCATGTGGGCTGTGGCTGTGGCGGAAACATGAGCTCAATTTAACACACATCAGGAGTGCGGATCTCCTTCCGCTTTGTCCTCTGTTTCATCCGCATCCTCGAACGCACGCACGATTTAAGGATAGGCGGGTGGTCACAGTCGCCGAAGCCGACGCTGCTCTCGCAAATTTCGTTATCTAATTAGTTGTTTATGAGGCGTGTAACAATATTGCCTACGTTGGCTAATGTTGCGTGACGGCGCCAGACATTCAACACATAACCACACTTGAGTTTAACCTAGAAAACTGAAACATGAGAGAAAATGAGTGTTACATTCATGGGAACGGGTTGGGTAGCACTCAAAGTTGAGTTGATGTTTGAGATGAGATGAAGCACACGGAATGGAAGAAAGTAATCGTACGTTGTTGATGACACAAACAACACGCTCATTATTTTTATCGTTGGGTGTAGAACTAAGCATCATATATGTATTTGTGAGTTGTTTTCGCAGCAGGAAAACGAAATGAAGAAGCTTCGTGCTTTTCACGTAGAGAAGAAAATTAGGAAATTAGAGGATAATTTAGAAAATAGCAACAGATGTTATTTTTAGTATTTGTTTATTTTCTCTACCACAAGCAATCAAGAGAACTCATCAAATTAAAATTTAACATAAGTATATTCAATTTAAGGTAATTTATCTCGAATTAATGTAACATTTATAGTGTTTTATGGTATTATGGGGGCTAGAATGTGTTCATAGCAAGCTCCGAGATGAAATGATAAATGACTACTTTTTTTTCTTGCCGGTAGTTTTTGCTTAGAAAAAAAAAAACTCCTCGTAAAACTGCGAACGTAAAAGAGAACAACTGCAATTTTTCTCGGTTTTCCGCTTTTAAGCTTCATCCGGTTATTATTTCACATTCCAGCAAAATAAGAAAATGAGTAAACGAGAAGTAAAAGTCCGTAAACAAAATAAAATAAAAACATATTTCTGAAAAAGATGACTAGACGAAATTAACAAGTAGTAAATTATCTCAGAAAATAAACCAAAACCTTGATGGTTTCAGAATTACGATAAGTATTTTGTACATTAGCGCATTTACTAAAATGAAATGAGGTTATGGCAAAATAACTACCTCTTTCAACGTTATATATACGAAATGCACTTTACTAAACCGTTAGTTTATAAAAAATGTAAAAAATGTTATAAAAACATAAAGTTATAGCACATTAGCAAACTTATTACTAGTTTTTTTTTTCATTTTAACTTCTGTTATGTGTTTTACTTCATTATGCAGCGCTTTGTACGTTGGGTTGCCTGCATTCTTTGCACTTAGCGCCGACTACATGTACTAGTGCTTTACACACTCTACTCGTGCTTTGCTAGCGCCGCAAGCACTCGCTTTGCTTGGTTCAGTTGGTTCACTTGCTTTAGTTGTGTTTTATTGCGCCGTTACGATGGCGGCCCGTAACGACTTTAATTAAATCGTAATTAAGAACGCAATATAGTTATATTAAATGCCTCGCGTCGCTTACAGCTCACACCGCTTGCACGGCCTGCAAAAGTGAGGAGAGCAAGAGTAGCTTTAGAATGTGTTTAAATGTTTGTGAGGTTAGACTTGCGTGTACAACTGGTTGCAGCTAGTTAGTACTACTTGTAGGCGTGGCTAGTTGTGACTAGCATTGCCTGAAGCTGCGTTCACAACTTGAATGTCGAAAGACAATGAGTGAAATTAAGTTTTCTCTTGGAAGCACCACTAACTTCTTTCGCGCTAAGTGTGGAAACGTGGCTTGCGCCATAAATGTCAGAGTTTAACGCTTTAATGACAGTTATGAACGCCTGGCAACCGTAATGTGCGCTGAAAGTGAAATAAGTGATATAAAACACTTTGATATTTATTAAATTACAACAAGCGTATAATTGTTTCGTACTTTCGCACTTACTTCGTTTATTATACTCATTTTACTAATGATTCTCATTACCTAATTGCAACTCATGAATCTGGAAAATCTGGTAGGTGGTGAGATTTGAGATTTATGTGACGTCATGTGACACATTTCACAAATTTCCCTGCAGAGGGTTTACTGCAGCGTGCAACGCCTCCGATTGTTATTGAATTCTCGGATGAGTTACGATTGTTTTCGCTGCGCGTGCCAAAACATCAGGTTTGAACACACCACCCATACATTTCATGCCATTTAATAAATTGCATATCATTGCTTTGCATAGAATTATTCTCGGAACAATAGAGGATTAAAAATCCTCTTAACGTGATAAACACAAACAAAAAGTAATCAAACTGTTTTGTTTATTAATCTTTAGTCTAGAAACTGTAAAATTTATACGAGCACAATAATGTTGGTCAATTAAATTTTCTTAAAAATAACGTCATTGTAGAATCGCTTACCTTTTTCAGTGCAGTCAGCAACACAATCTCGAACTATGGATCCTTCGCTCATGTATTTCTATAAAAACAAAACAAAATGTTAATAACACTTTTTATTATGATTTACAAATGCATCTATCGATTCATGCATAAAACACATGTGTACGTCAGAAGTAAAGGCAAATGTTATATGCAACACATTATACTTGCATAGATAAAGTTCTCAGCTATGCATTGAATTGTACATTAGGTTGCATGTTATACTCAACATCTTTTGAAGTTTATACACATGTAAACACATATTTTGATGTTTTACCCTTTGCATTTTACGTCAGTACATGTATTTTTTATTATCTCAACGTTCAACTTTTTTTCACTTATATACATATACGAGTATTTTATATTGCGCGACTGTATCACGTTTCCTAGCTTTTCACATTCGCATATCACTCACTCGCGGAAACATTCAGCGCTCAACATTTTCACGAATTTACAAACGCAAAAACACATGTTCGAACACTGGGAACACGTCGGCATCGTTTCGGCAACTTGTTCAACTCGTCCATTTTACAAAATGTTAGCAAAGAAGAGAACATCCCTCTAACGCATTTCACATCAACTTTTTTCGCGCTCATTTTATGTTTAGCCATTTTTTGGTAGTTTTACTTTTTACGTTTCAACTTTGTACTTTTTGATGATGAACCACCGGATTGCGCAATGTTTGCGAGGGAAGTTAATGCCAGTTACGGCGAGTTACGACATGAACAGACGGAAGCAGATGTTCATAAATACTCTACCGACAATTGTGATAACTGAAAGTACTATCTAAATGTACGAAAAATTCAGTGATGGCTGATAAAATTTATTGAAATGAGAGTTTTAGTAATTTAGGTGTAAATTTAAAATTAATTCAAAAACCATTTAATTTTTTTAACTATGAACTTTTCTAAGTAGCATATGCAATCCAAATTACATATTCTCACCATTCCATGGGGAAGCGTGAAAATATGCTACCCAGCAATCATCTGCGGGGTATGGGTAGTTTTAAAAGGGTTGTGCACGTCGGTAGGGTAGTTACGTGGCGCTTCACGGGCCTGAGCGCTTACGCAACCAATTTTTCAATGAAATTTCCGCAAATTTCCATAATTTCATCGTTTTCCACCACCGGTCTGCCGATGTCATCATACTCGTCGTTGCGATTTTTCACGCCGTGGCGAGTTTGAAATTTGCGAGTTTTTGCTTCCCAAACGCAGTTTACGGTTAAATCCTCACTTTTTCGACCGGTTGGCTCAGTCTCAGGGGATTAATATTCATCGGAATATTGGCATTTGCAAAATTTGCAAATATTTGCAACTTTAACAAGCATGAAAAACCCCTAGGGATTATTTTTGAGAATAAATAAAAGGCTAAATTTAAAAATGTTTAACAAGCGAAGTTCAATTGATAAAAACATCGCATAAAATAAAATAATAAATTTTAATCTAGGGCACACTGTATATTCAATAAGAATCACTCAACTAAAAGGTAGGCAACCAAACCATCACCACTAAACTCACGTTAGTCAAGATGAGGGATGAAAAGCGGAGCGAAAGCAAACGTTTTCGATTTTCATTCTAATTTTCAGCCGCCCCGCGGCGACCGGCAGCCGCCATCGGGTACAATCCAAAGGTGAAAACTTGCACCTTTGCGCACTGGGGTGGTTTTGGGTGGGTGGTGGCGGATGAAATTGCATAAATTATTCACGCCCGACCTCGACTACCAAACGCAGCGGCGTCGTGCCGTGAAAGTCGCGTAAGTCGTGACGCTAAAGTTTGAGCCAAGGGTTGAAAAATGAGAAGAAAAAAAGGAAGATGGGGTGGATGTAAGTGAAGTCGGTCATACGCTTGCTTTCGGGCTTATCAGCCTTAGAAATGTGTATTTATGAGTGAGAATAAAGAATAAAAAGAATAGATCAGCGAAAGATGACGGTTTTAATGCTAGTGCAAGTATATTTGGTTGCATATTTGAATAGCTACTATTACTTACATTTATAAATGATACCAATTTTAACCAGATGGGTATATTTTTTTGAAAACTAACAATTTAATACAACAAACGTATAAATCCAGTTTGACACTATAATTAATCCAATTTTTGAGGTTATTATTGGTTTGTGTGTTTGGTTGCCTGAATTTAAGGGCGCTGACAAATTGGAGGGCACAACAGAAGCATAATAAATCAGGGCGGATTAATTAATGTACACTTACGGATGCTCGACATGTTCACGCTCACGCACCCCTCAGGATAATTATATACAGTGTGTAAGAAATGAATAATTAAAATTAATAACAAAAATTTAGTTTCACCTCTTATAAATTTATTTTCCAACGAATAAACACACTGTACATTCACTAAGCTTCTATTTGGAGGTTTTTCCAAATTGATGTTTCGGTGTTAGACTATATGTGGGTTTTCGATTTCAATTTCGTTTTCGATGCAGGAATACCAAACTTGTATCATTCACGCTTCTCATGTTACTTTAGATCGACATAATATATTTAATGTACGCAACCCATTTAACATTGTGCATAGGCGTCTCATGAATTGAATAGCAAATGGCACTGAATAATGCGGAACATCGTCTGAGAAACGCATTTGTGTCGATTTGTCGATAATAAATTGAAGAAGAAATATTATGCAAATATTTTGCATTTTGGATGTCTTCGTATGCGATATTAATCTTTTTGCTATTTTCTTCCTTCAGCCTTTCATTTTGTTCGCCAAAGTTTGTGTGTTATATGGCGCATAGACGTTTATCATGTAATATTTGTTGTTTTATTATATTTCAAGCATATTTTATTTGGTAAACGAGTAAAGCTTTTAGATATATACAGTGTGAGCGAAATAATTTTGGAATATTTAGTTTTAAAAATGTTGCGCTATAAAATTTAAAATTAGGAATAGCCACATGAACACACTGTATTATTATTGTTACATGGCTTTAGCCGCTGCGCTCAAATACGTTCCGATGCGCTCGAAGGAAAAGCTCAAGCTCAGGCTAGAAAAGCTCGCCGAGCTTGAAAAGCTTTGCATCGGAAACGCCAGCGGTATTGAGATATCGACTTGTCTAACACGAATGCGAAAACACGAAAAGAACAGTCCGTCGGCGCAGACAATACGCAAATAAACGTCCAACCGTCTTCATCTTTTACCGCAACAAACAAATTTACATTCTTACACTGAGTTCTATATTAAAATTAAAACAAAAAAAAAGTGAACGAAAATAATACAAATACCTACATATAATTAAATTTTAATAAATATAATGTTTATATTTGTTATAATAGAGTGGTAAATATCTTTCATCCGACTGCAAGTGGATAATTTACAAAATTTTACAAAATTTCAAACAATAATTAAAACAATCATTAAAACATTATTATATAAAATATTATATAATTATTATATAAATTAAATGTCTTTTCCTGTGATTGAAATTAATGAATTGTGCATATTAAACTTATTGAATTGGAACTCAAAGATATCGACTCACGAACACTGAACGAAATCTCGATGTAAATTTGTTCGTTGTGAATCCGCAGGATCCGCATACGACCGCGCACGTACGCGCTGAACGGACGTGATGCGCCCAGACTGGCAAAGTTTACTTTCTTTTCTTTTATTGCCAAAATATCGCGATTTCACTAGGAGTAAAAACAGCCTGGTTGTTTTCAAGTCGACAAACAAGGCAAAATCAGTGAATTCTAAAAACGATAAATAAAATAGAAAAGAAAACTTACATAGTAATATAATACCTATATTAATATCAATAATCAATAAATAAACAAAATATGATATTTTCCAGCAAAAACTGAAAGTATTACTTTTTAGATTAATACTCACAATACAATATTTGTGATCCTTCGAAGGGCAATCAATCAACTCCATATAGGTGGAGTTTATACAGGGTGTGATGGAACCAACCCCATCATTGTACAGCCCGCACTTGAGGCATTGCAGTGCCATGCTGGAACCAATCGCCACTCCTAACACCATCAACGATAACAGGAAGCCACTTTTACCCATTGTGGTTCGATGTAAACTTTTCAAGATAAGTTTATAAACTTTTTGTCCCAGTTATTTATATTATGATAATGTCTACAAGTTTTTATGGGTAATTTTATTGTTTGTTGGCGTATAAACTTTTCGCTGTCCGTTGGATAATCTTAGCAGGAAAATTTCACAAACGCGCAAAGTCGACAAAGTGACAGCAGGGTAGTAGCGCACCGGCCGCGGGTTGTACGACAACTAAGTTTTCGGATGCGCCCGAAATCGCGCGCTTCAACTTTGCGCGCCCGCCCGCGCATACCAAGCCGCCTCCGATATACTATCAAAACGGGGCTACTCACAGCTGCGGCAAACTGTAAGGGATACACGCCCACTTCTACACAAGTATGTATACAATTGTTTTATGTTTTTAAGAAAAATTATATATTTATATATTTATAATATAATTTCATAATGGCACTCTTCAGTTACGGAAATTAAATTTAGTTTTTCTTCATTTTGATTTAATATAAATTTCCTTGTTATTTCTGGAATAACAGTGCAAAGAGTGTTTAAGAATATTTGCGAGCGTTAAAGAATACTACACGCATGCTGGAATGTTTTCCTCTTTTCATTGTTTTCTCTACTTATGGAGAGATAACAAGCATGCGGATTTCAGCAATGCGCGGAATGCACAAATGACGAAAACTTCTACGAGAACAAGAGGAAAATCTTTTGTTAAAACTTGCATCGCAATTTATTCTACGCACGATGAAAGAAAGGAATTTCAATTATTTACGTATTTACGTTTGCAGAAAACTGACGAAGGTGTGGAAAATGCTTACATCTGCAACATTCAAATTCAAATTTTGTGACAGAACTATGTTGCAGGTAGTGAAATAATACTAGTATTAACAAGTTATTTATTTTGACTGCGTCGCATTGCATTTTGAATATTATAATATTTTGGGTTTTAATTTTATTGGCATTTTCGTGAGATTTTTCTTTATTATATGTTTGTGAAAAATTGTTTAAAATAATGTTATAACAATTGAATTAACTGCATTAGTGGAAACTTTGTTAATTCTTGTCCTTTTTTTTTCTGTTTAGTTCATGAAGAACAAGTAAAATCAAGGCCCAATTGCTGGAAATTCTCAAAAATTGTCTACGAGTATAAACTCGATTCGTCTAATCTCGTGTGGTGTTTAGCAGAATACTCCAGTATAAGACGATAAAATTCTACAGAAACCTACAGCTCCTTAGGTTGCAGTTATTCTCAGTTAGCTTCGACATCGCTAGCTGGCGCCACTTATATTAAGATAGCAGCGGATAAGGGACGCTACCTTACGCCAAATTTCAACTACAAAATGAAAATGCCCCTTTTGTGTTTTCGATCCTCTAATTTTTGTGGTTTTAGGTGTCTAACGGGCGAACACGATGTTGTAGGGCAACCGTTTTAATCAAAATTGTAGGTATTAAATTTTTTATCGATTTTGTACATAATTTGTAGGTGCATCTTTTGGGAACCCAATAAAATGTACTTTTGTGTTTTCCGATCTTCTAATTTTTTGATTTTAGGTGTCTAGCAGGACAACGCGATGTCGTAGGACAACCGTTTTTACACTTAATTGTAGGTATTAAAATTCTCTATCGCTTTTGTATACAATTTGTGGGTTTATCCTTTGGAAACTCTATGAAATTGCCCCTTTTGTGTTTTTGATCTTCTAATTTTTGTGGTTTTAGGTGTCTACCGGGCGAACGCGATGTTGTAGGACAACCTTTTTACAGTAAACTATAGGTAATAGAATTCTCTATCATTATCGTATATAAGTTCTTGGTTTATCCCTTGGGAAATCTATAAAAAGCCTTTTTGTGTTTTTCGGTCTTCTAATTTTTGTGGTTCTGGGTTCCTAGCGGGCGAAAGCGATAACGTAGGACAACAGTTTTAAACTAAATTGTAGGTATTAAAATTCTCTATCATTTTCGTATATAACTTCTTGGTTTATCTCTTGGGAACCCTATAATAATGCCTTTTTGTGTTTTTCGGTATTCTAATTTGTGTGGTTTGAGGTTTCTAGCGGGGAAAGCGATATCGTAGGAGAGCAGTTTTCAAACTAAATTGTAGGTATTAAAATTTTCTATCGTTTTCGTATATAACTTCTTGGTTTATCCCTTGGGAACCCTCAAAAATGCATTTTTGTGTTATTTGGTCTTCTAATTTTTGTTGTTTTAGGTTTTAGCGGGCGAACGCGATGTCACATAACAACAGTTTTTACACTAAATTGTAGGTATTAAAATTCTCTATCATTTTCGTATATAACTTCTTGGTTTATCCCTTGGGAACCCTATAAAAATGAAAATTTTGTGTTTTTCGGTCTTCTAATTTTTGTGGTTTTAGGTTTCTAGCGGGCGAACGCGATGTCGTAGGACAACAGTTTTACCCTAAATTGTAGGTATTTAAATTCTCTATCATTTTCATATATAACTTCTTGGTTTGTCCCTTGGAAACCCTATAAAAATGCTTTTTTTGTGTTTTCGGTCTTCTAAGTTTTGTGGTTTTAGGTTTCTAGCGGGCGAAAGCGATGCCCTAGGAGAGTAGTTTTACACCAAATTGTAGGTATTAAAATTCTCTATCAATTTCGTATATAACTTCTTGGTTTATCCCTTGAGAACCCCATTAAAATGCATTTTTGTGTTTTTCGGTCTTCTAATTTTTGTTGTTTTAGGTTTCTAGCGGGCGAACGCGATGTCATAGGACAATAGCTTTTACACTAAATTGTAGGTATTAAAATTGTCTATCATTTTCGTATATAACTTCTTGGTTTATCCCTTGGGAACCCTATAAAAATGCCTTTTTGTGTTTTTCGGTCTTCTAATTATTGTGGTTTTAGGTGTCTAGCGGGCGAACGCGATGTCGCAAGACAACCGTTTTGGCACTAAATTGTAGGTTTTAATATTCTCTATCATTTTCGTATATAACTTCTTGGTTTGTCCCTTGGGAACCCTATAAAAAGTCTTTTTGTGTTTTTCTGTCTTCTAATTTTTGTGGTTTTAGGATTCTAGCGGGCGAACGCGATGTCGTACGACAACAGTTTTACCCTAAATTGTAGGTAAAAATTCTCTATCATTTTCGTATATAACTTCTTGGTTTATCCCTTGGGAACCCTATTAAAATGCATTTTTGTGTTTTTCGGTCTTCTAATTTTTGTTGTTTCAGGTTTTAGCGGGCGAACGCGATGTCATAAGACAACAGTTTTACACTAAATTGTAGGTATTAAAATTTTTTAGCGCCAGAGCAATAACTACCATTTTACTTTCAAGAATTTTAATATTAAAAATTTATTTTTGTTTATTTATTTATTTTTGTGGTTGTAGGTGTCTAGTGGGCGAACGCGATGTCGTAGGACAACCGTTCTTACACTAAATCGTAGGTATTAAAATTCTCTATCGTTTTTGTATATAACTTCTGGGTTTATCTCTTGGGAAACTAACAAAAAGCTTTTGTTGTGTTTTTCGATTCTATAATTTTTGTGGTTTTAGGTGTCTATCGGGCGAACGCGATGCCGTAGGACAACAGTTCTGACACTAAATTGTAGGTATTAAAATTCTCTATCGTTTTTATATATAATTTGTGCGTTTATCCTTTGGGAACCCTATGAAAATGCCCTTTTGTGTGTTTTGAACCCTAATTTTTGTGGTTTTAGGTGTCTAGCGGTCGAACGCGATGTCGTAGGACAACCCTTCTTACACTAAATTGTAGGTATTAATATTCTCTATCGTTTTTATATATAATTTGTGGGTTTATCCTTTGGGAACCTTTTGAAAATGACGTTTTTGTGTTTTTTATCCTTTAATTTTTGTAGTTATACGTGTCTAGCGGACGAACGTGATGTCGTAGGACAACGGTTCTTACATTAAATTGTAGGTATTAAAATTCTCTATCGTTTTTATATATAGCTTTATTATTATTTTTATATATAGTTTTATCCCTTGGGAACCTTTTGTAAATGCCCTTTTTGTGTGTTTTGATCCTGTAATTTTTATGGCTTTAGGTGTCTAGCGGGCGAACGCGATGTCGTAGGACAACCGTTCTTACACTAAATTGTAGGTATTAAATTCTCTATCGTTTTTGTATATAACTTCTAGGTTTATCTCTTGAGAAACCTATGAAAATGTCGTTTTTCTGTTTTTTGCTCGTCTGATTTTAGGTGGCGAACGCGATGTCGTAGGGCGCCCGCAACCTACAAAAATAAATTCAAAGTAAGGTAATTTAATAGTTTCAATTCACATACTTTCTGTTATTTTCAGCACATAATTTGGGTACTAAAATATTGGGAGTCGCGTTGTTGTTTTAATTTACGAACATAGATTGTTGTCTCTCCAACTGTGGGTCGGTTATCAATTGTCGTTCTTGTTTAGTCCGGCTTAGTTGTTCGTGCGCCGTGGTGTGGTGTGCACGTGTTTTGTTCATTAATCAAATTTTGTGACAATTGTTTGCGTTACTAAAGATTTTAATTCTGCAATTGAATTAGAATAGGGCGACATTTAGCAATAATGGTGATTGTTTGTAGGCCGTGTGTGGTGGCCGTCGGATAAGTATGCACGCTGCTGTGTTTATCAATCGATTAATTTTTGGTTCACCAGTGCGCGCGTTTCCGTTAGCAATCAGTCAGTTATCGTTTCGCACATAAGAATAACATGGATTTATAATTAATTACTGCAAATGGACAACTTTAATGCACAGGACAAAAAGTTTGAGAGTGGAGTTTATGATATCTATAACTGAAGTGTTGGAGATGCGTGTAATTTAAGGCAAGTTTTGACTACTCCCGAATTTACTAGCTGTAGATATTTTTTTATTTAAAAAAATGTATCTATTATTATTGTTGTCAATAAAACACAATGTAAAATTATAATCTCATTCATATTTCTTTGTGGTATCCTCTCCGTCGTTTTCAGTATTGACGTTTTAAGTAATATTGCGTATAAATTTTATGCGCGTGGAGCGAGTGCAACATAGTTGAGATGTGTTGTTGTTTTTAAAAAGTGGAGTGAAGTAGAAACATAAGTAGAAGAATCAAATATTAAGAACAAAAACACTCGGTGGTCGAGTGGGTACGTGCACCTGCTAGCATGCTAGTAGGCACGGATCGAATCTCAGATATAGAAGGAATTTTTCTCAAATATAAAAATAACAGGTGTAATTTGGGTTGCATATATGAATTGCAACGAAATATAAGAGAAGTTGCAATTCAAGGGAGGCAATGAGAGAAGTAAGAAAGTAAGTGGAGAAACGGAGAACGGAGAAATAGAAGGAGTAGAGAACAGAGGAGGAGGAGATGATAGAGGGAAGAGAACAGAATAGAGAAAAGGAGGAGATACAAGAAAGAGCAACAGGAGTGGATGAAATTTTTAAATTTTTTGGCACGTGTCGTTATAAGACAGTCTACGGTCGATCTCCCACTACTTCGATGCCTCCATTGCTCCCGGCCCATCCTACAGCTACGATGTCTCTACGCTTCATCCCCAGGATTCTTAGGCATATCAACAATTTTATGGTGGGGATCATCCCCGAGTGGGAGAACTCCTTATAAGGACATTCCTTATAACGTCTTGTTCAAATATTTCTAAGTTTTAAGTCGTCTCAAGAGAGGTGACACTTAAAAATATTCTTACAAGTTCTGACCTGTAGCTGAAATGAAAGATGGAGGACACAAATCATACAGGATACCTTAACAATTTTTATAGTGGGGATCATCCCTGAGAGAAGGAACTCTCTTAGAGACCTGTACCTGAAATGATAGAAGGGGTACATTCAAAGCATAAGACATAATATTTCTTAACATTTCTTTATTAATAAATTCAATGTAACATAATACAAGTTTAGATTTTACAAGTCAACAGAATTCATGCAGCCATATTGACACAGAACTTAGGACCTGCATCGTCGCGCACATATAAGCATGTAACACGTCAAAATGTTCTACCGGGATAAAGAAATCAGCAAATTGCCCATTTTCTAGGTGATGGAAAATGGAAACAAATATACAGGGTGTTACAGAATGAAAATTCAAAATTCAAGAAGTTAAATTCTAATTACAGTCAAAGCAAAATTTTCAGGGATGTGAAGAAAAACGATTATACAAGGTGTAACAAATAAAAAATTCAATCTTCCAAGAAGAAAACCACTAAACACTACAAATATTGCTCGTTTTCACCCGATGCGCCGGAAACTAATGAACAGGGTGTTACAAAAATAGAGTGCAAAGAGAAAGCTCTAAAACCACTGCTGAAGGAAAAGTTTCACGGACACAAAGAAAAGCAAATATACAGAGTGTTCCAGATAGAAAATCCCAAGTTTAAAACAAAGAACACTCAAAACTCACAAATAAAAACGATTTACTACGTACTGTACTGTACTGAAAACTAATATACAGGGTGTTACAAGAGGAAAATTTTCAAAACTCGAAATATGGTCAATACTCACATCATGACGAGAGAAATTTATGCAGAAACAACTATATTTTAACATAAATTCAAAGATTTTACCCGAAAATCATGAGAAAAGTTGAGTAAAAAAGATGCTACAAGAATAAAACAATTACATTTTAATATATTGTGTATACATTTATCATTTGATGATAGCATCAACTGCATAAGGTAACCGGCGGGTGAGGCATTAGCATAAATTGATAGAACATCCGGCGGATAACATCCAAACCAGCAAGCGACGGCGCGTGGTAATACAGTAGGTAAGCTAAATACGATAAAAATAACTAGTTACTTGTAAATATTAAGTAACTATGGAGACTATGATAGCGAAAAACTATTCAATGTACATGACTTTATTAAATCAACAAGAAACTTTTTAATTTAATGATGCTAAGGAGTGTAATTCGATGAAAAACGTTCAGTGAAAAGAGAACCGAGCCGTGGTCGACCACATGAATATTGTCATTTTAATAATTTTCAGATATTTTTTTAGAACAATGTAATAATTAAATCATTCTTATTATTTTCGGAAACAAGGCTATGAATTCAGATAAAAAATGCTACCACGTGTTTGTAATTTGCAAAATTAATATCCCTCATTTGGAATATAATAATCAATTTAATATAAACCGCGAAAAAATTAATTACACACATACCAGTGCAATGATGAAAAGATTTTAGATCCAGGAATATAACTTATTAACTGAAAACTCGTGCGGAGATCAACAGGCACTTATTTCTTACTTAAGAACACTCCATCCGCCACAACTCATCAAACAAAACAGCCACACATGCTCGTTTCGAATATTTTGCTGATGACGACAAGAAACACGACCATTAATTGAATAATTGAAGTCTGAAAATGCGTGGCTGGTAGTGAGAAGCGCTCGCGGACCACGCGGTTAAACGACTGCCGTGTGCGCTGCGCGTTGCCAGGTACAAGGCAGGTACGTCGCGATAATACACGTCAGCCGAACAAAAAAGTTGTTTATAACAAACGTAGTAGTAAACACGTACTTGAGAAGACGAAAGTAAAAATTTACACTATTGAAGTAACACACACACACGAAATCAACTTTTACTTTCAATATATCTCGACATAAGAAAAGAATATATTGGTTTAGAGATGCAATAAGGATGATGTAATGTACCAATACAAATAAAAAAAATTCTTGTCTTCTAGTTGTCTTCATATAAGTTTACTGTATACTTTAGTTAATTAAATAATTGATGTTCACAACATCGTGACTAATTTAAATATTCTCTATAAAATAAAGTATTAAAATCGGAAAAATAAAAAGGTACGACCACTTTTTTTTAGTTTTTTTTCAATTCCGAATAGCACAATAGCCCGGAACCCGAGCCACTTCTACCGCTACCTTCGTACGGTGCCCTGAACTCGAGTCACTTCTACCGATACCTTCGTAGGGTGCCCTGAACACGAGTCACTTTTACCGCTGCGCTTGTACCGCGCCCCGAACACGAGTCACTTCTACCGCAGCCCTTGTACGGTGCCCTGAATACGAGTTACTACTACCGCTGCCCTTGTACGGTGCCCTGAACTCGAGTCACTTCTACCGCTACCATCGTAGGGTGCCCTGAACACGAGTCATTTCTATCGCCACCCTGCTAGGGTACATTGAATGAGACTAAACTAAATCAACAAAAAAAAAATAACAAAACCCTTCTTGCGCTATCATAATCGGATAAAAAATTTGAACATTTCACAAAGGTATTCCGCAATATGATTCGTTTTCGCGGGCTATTACAACACGTAGGTGAAATGTGATAAAACATTTATCCGAATAATATAACTTAATTATAAACTTACCAGTGCTGCGCTCATCGGTTTGCAAGGATACGGCAAGTACTGTAATTAAAAGAAAACAGAAGTAAAACAAAACAGTTCATACAATATGATAATATTATAATCACACATGGGAGAAAACAAACTTTGTATGCTGAGTATCGCAATGGTCAGATAAAAGTAACTTACTCAAGCACGAATAGGTTTCCGATTGATCTAGCGACCGACCACGTTCCACAATAACCGAAATATTTGATTTGAAATATAAACATCAAAAGCAAACAAAAAAGACATTCATGCACATTAAATGTACAATTATTTATTAATAAACCACTGCAGATGCATATTACGACTAAGTCGATTGATGACCGAATATACTCGTAATGCAAACTTTGAAAATATACGTCTAGATACGCCAGACATCGGCACAAAACTAGCTGCAGTTCACCAATAGAGCATACCAAAACTGCGCTCGCAAGGATGCGACAGTTCACACTAAGACTCTGTGCCTGCTGCATAAGGCAGGTAAAAGCAATAGATGCGCAAAGCCAGCGCGTGGATACCACGCGACCTTATGCGCAAATTGGAATAGATGCGCAAAGCCGGCGGCGCGTCGATGGCACGCAACCTTGTGCACGAATTGCAATAGATACGGTACCTGTGATAAGAACTAAACTAAAATGTGCTGCATGCGACAGCGCGACGAGAATCTTACGCGTAGCATTTCGCACGGTGAATGCGATAAGAAAGTTGTTTATAAACAAACGCTGATATGATTCAAAACGAATACAATTCTATTTTATGATTCGTAGTTCATGCTGGTGAATTAAAATTTAAATCATAAAATTATTAATGCTTATTGTTTCAGTTTTATTGAAACATTTATTGAAGCAATGACTTCCGCAAAAGATATCAATTTTCTAATTGCAAGAAATCTGGAAAACTGATGCTATAAATGATAATAAATTTTACTTACCAGTGAATCGAACACCGCAAATCAAATGTGAGTAGATACTGAAATAAAGAAGAAACAAAACATTAGTTACACAATTTCGGACAATGAATACCGGCGGAACTCAAAGTTTACCATAAATTTCGTCTTCTTCTCCATAATTATTTAAATTAGGTTTCGTACCAGATAATACATTGAGCCAACGAGTTGTACAGAAGTCAAAAATGGTTCGCACAAGTCCTAAATATTATTTATAATCACACACAAAATCTGCCGGCCGGCGTCCGACGACAACCGATCAGAAATCCACGCGAAAATGTAATTAACACACAAAATATTGAATTCCGAAGATTACATACGCAATAAATATTTACCGATTGACCAAACACGGCAATTAACACTAATTTCAATAAAATATTACGCGATATACCAAATTTACAATCGAGAAACACGAATACTAGACGGAGTATGCTTGCTGCCGCACGAAGTAAGAGCTGCGTGCCGGCTTCACAACTGTGCACGTCGACTTTCACTCGCAGGAATATTTTTAGTTAAAACATGCATCGTTGCGCTATCTGAGAATACTTTACTGTACTTCCCGAAAATACCAAGCGTTTCAAAAAGTGTGGCGTACATATGAGGCAGTGAGCGATTGCCTTTGCATCAGTGAGTGGTCACGCGCTTAAGTGGCCGTGTCCGTGTATCACCCTATCTAAACAAATACCAATTTTTACACATAACTCAAAACTTCAAATATAGAAGTCAATAGAACACACTTATTCCAAATAAATTAATTTAATTATATTATTATTATTATTTTTATTATTATATTATTCATTGATTGTGTTTAACGACAATTTTCGAATATCTTCTACGACCAAAAAATTTTAACTAAAAAATTCGAAGAAAAAATTTTAAGTAAAAAAGTTTGAGCCTGTTTTTCGACCGATAAAATTTTAACAAAAAAATTCGTCCGAAAAAAGTTTACCAAAAAATTCGACCGAAAAAAAGTTTACAAAAAAATGCGACCGAAAAAATTTTATCAACAAAATTTGACGGAAAAAAGTTTACAAAATAATTTGACCGAAAAAAGTTTACAACAAAATTCGACCGAAAAGTTTTTAACAAAAAAATTCGACAGAAAAATTTTAAGTAAAAAAATTTGTCTGTGTTTTTCGACTGAAAAATTTTTTTAGAAAAAAAAATCGACCGAAGAAATATTGACTAAAAAATTGGACCGAAAAAAAGTTTATAAAAAAAATCGAGCGAAAAGATTTTAACAAAAAAATTCGACAGGAAAATTTTAAAGAAAAAAGTTCGACCCTGTTATTTGATCGAAAATAATTTAGAAACGTTTTGACACGGTTTTTCGAGCAAAAAATGATAAATATTGGAGTGAAACAGCAATTTTTGAACCTAATTTCAGGGCACTTCTGGACAAGTTAAAGGATTGAAAGGGTCTGCATGGTGTAGATAAACTCTCGAACTCTAATATGACAGTAAGAAACTTCAGGAAAATCAGTTCAAGAAATACAAGGCGTTTTCCACACCATGTTTTTAACATTTCAAAATATTGCTAAAATTTGAAGGGCATTTTAGGGCACTTCCAAAAGGTTTAGAACATTAAAATAACATGCATCGTAAAAAGGGTCTTTCGGACTATAATATGGCGTAAAGAAACTTACGAAACAGAATATGTATTAGTTCAGGAGATACAGGGCGTTTTCCACGCCATGTTTTCAAATATTTATAAAATTGCTTACTTTAGAAACAGAATATGTATTAGTTCAGGAGATACAGGGCGTTTTCTACGCCATGTTTTCAAATATTTATTAAATTGTCAAATTTTGATGAGCATTTTGGGGCACTTCTGGAAGGACTGAAAAGTTGTAAGGCATGCACCTTATAGAGACACTCTTTAACTTTATTCTGGAGTAGAAAAACTTCAAGCAAGTCTATTAGTTCACTAGATACCGGGTGTTTTCCACACCCTCTTTTCCAATTCTCCTAAAATTGCTCATTTTTGAAGGGCATTTTTGGGCACTTTTGATAGGGCTTGAAGGTTGGAGAGTATGCATCGTATGGAGGAACTCTCTACCTTTAATTTGACGTGGAGAAACTCTAAAAAAGTCAATTAGTTCACAAAATACAGAGCGTTTCCCGCACTATATTTTCAAATTTTGCTAAAATTGTTTATTTTTGAAGGGTATTTTAGGCCATTTTCAAAAAAGCTGGAAGGTAGGGGGTATGCATCTTGTAAAGGAACTCTCGAGCCCTAACATGACGAAAAGAAAGTCCAAGGAAGTGAAACAATTTACAGATACTGAGCTATAATCTGGATTGCATATGTCGATTCGGTTCAATATAATGCAATACCAGTAGAAGTTACTCTAATAGACGATGCAACATACGAGTAATATAGAAGCAAGGAGAGTTGAGGAGACAAAATTGTAATTATTATACACACATTTTTATAAACTTACAAGTATATCGGGTAATCTCAGGAGGTACTCAAACGAAAAACACATGTTTTAGCAGTCGGACTATGTTGCACACTTATTAAGACTGTTCCTAGTGCTGTTTGACCGGCGATATTTCCGTGAAAGCCCATCGAGGACAGGCGTTAATTGCTAATTCTTTCAGACATTTCCAATACCAATTCCTGGCATTAAAATAATCCAATAATTGTCTGGTCATTAGTCCACAGATAAAAACAAAAGTTTTATAACCATTTCACGCGTAAATCATCGTTTTAAAAACACTGTACACGTCTATTATCATTAACTACCGATATTTATGCCACTTTTTGATCGATAAATTGTAAGGGAGTTTATTTAATCAATATGAATGAAAGAAAGGTGGTCATTCAAATGCAAATAAGAGCAGACTGAAACATTCGATCGTTCTTAGCACGCGCGCAGCATGGATCTGGTTTTTACCCCACCACGAGCTCCGATAAGCGTGTAGAGTTGAAAACAAAACATTCAGATATGTTAGTGTAATGCAAGTTGAAAGTTGCTTAAATTATTTATTATTTATGAGGATGGTGCTAGCGTATTGTATTTTGCGCTATCAAAGTGTACAAAAAAATCAAATACCGGAATATCCGGAATTTAGTACGTCGCGAATGCTGCTTATACACTAGCTCCTATTAATACTATTAGATATATTAATATTTTCAATTAACAGGTTGTCGCGGCGCGTAGTTAGGTCCTCGTTCTAGGATATACATTTTTGATTTTTTGAACACTACTGTGAAGAGATTCACAATCTAGGGTAGGGTAAAAATTTAAAAAAAAAAGTTTCTTTCGTGTTATTTTATCAATAAAATCAGTGCAGATTAAAAACTCCCCCATATATAATGCATTTATAAGTTAAAATGTTACACGAAATTGTCACCACAACCCAAGTATTCTTGTGTATCATATTGACTTCGGCACCGGTAATTACCACTAAAATAAACATAGTGCAAGTGATTCAAAAGTATTAAATATTCACATATTTTTATTTAATACTTACGCAGGTCCGTAGTTGCATGTGTATAGTTTGACATACGGCGTGTCCCAGTACTGGATATCTGTGTACATGATAAAGTCACATCCGACACTGTTTGTATCAGACCAAACAAGCTGAATACAATAGTTGGCAATTAAAACAGAATGTCAGGATTAAATTAATGTACTTGCCTGTGTATACTTGTATAGTACGCAGTGTTCCAAGAGTATTTCTGACCGTAAGTGTAATCATTATGTTCATTGAACCAGGCTTTAATTGCAGCCTCCCAGTTTTGTGTTGGATCCTCTGTGCTACTGTATTCAATATAAAGGTTTTGTCCTACGTGATGCCAACGATCTAAAAAATTTAAAAGCAAACAAATTAAAGTTTTTAAATAAAATAATTACAGGAGTCACCATCGGTAATTTTCACACGTTTTATTTTGCATTGTAAAGAAACTGCACGCCCCTTCTCAGCTAGTACATCATCGTACTTCTAATAATTCAATAAACATTTTTAAATATTATTAAATAACGATATCAATAATACGAATACCATTTTGAGTAAATTTGTGCCCTTTGGTTGATTCGGTACTTCTCCGTAGGCAATCATACGACGATATTTGTTATGTTCGTCAACAATAATTCTCTCCTGAATCGGGTCTATTCCAAGTCTTCTTCTTCTCTACTTCAAATATAGCACCTGCAATGATGGCACACACAACGAAAGTAAAATGCATGGTTACTGTTTAAACAAGAACCACATTAACATTAAGTTTGATTCAAAGAAGTCTCACTTATATACTGAATAATATCTGATAACATATTCGTGCCAATTGTATATTATTTTATGCTTCTAACATGAAATCACAAGTTTAATATTGTTTATCAAACGATTTGCTATTTTGAATATCTGAACAATGGCCTGTAATTGTTATCAAATATTTTTGCCACGATTTGTGTCAAAACGTTTACGTTTGGGTATGTATAAAAATGGTTTGTGATTCATACACCAAAGACAAAGATAAGAAGTTTGGTTCAGTCTTTGTACTATTTACCTGACAGTTAAAAGGAAACAAAAAATAACGCAAATTTACTTCGTACATCTTATTATATACAAATTTTTAGTATCAATAGAATTTCAGTTCATTTTTAGAAAGACAATTTTAAATTTTCTTTGTTCTATAAAATTTTAACAATATTAAACATTATTTTGATTTGTTCGAAATGTAATGTGTAAGGTTTATAAGTTTAAATTCTTAAGCATATAAAATTAATAAATCTATTTAACAGTTATTCAGATTATAGGTACATTTTGATTAGATTCAATTTTTGATCGATTTCGATATTTATTCGTTCAATAGATTTTTTTAAGTTGATATCGTGGATGTTTTTTTGTGAAGCAAACAAAGTGAGAAACATTATTTACAAAAGTAAAGCCAAAAGAATCGCTTTTTAAAATTTTAAAGCGTCTAAACAATTACTTCATTAAATAAGGCTCTTAAAACAAACTAATAAGCAGCGGAATGTATCGATTATGGACTCGGAGCATCAATCGACTATGACTATACAATTCATAACCTCAAAAATATTTTTTTGTCTTTTATTTCATTTAAAGCACTCTTTTTGTTGCTATTTTCTGTGTTAGTGATTCGTTAAATTATCATAAAATATAGTAGAATGTATGCACAGAAGTTTTAAAAAGAATAATATTAGACTTGGTTGCTAGTTGCTGGTGAATTGCGTTTGTTTCAGTTTGAAATCAATCAAAATCAAACAAAACATGATGGTGGCGCCCTCACTTGCCGCTGTAATGGCTGCCAATATGCGATGGTGGGCCACGATGCTTGTACCGACTTCCGGGACGAGAGTGCACGATAGCGTAGTGATCGCTATGCGATGACACCGATCGTGTCGAATTCATTGTTGATCCACCGGAAGTGTAACCTTTTGGATGTTGGGGTGCACCGTTCAATGAATATCTATTAACATAAATATTATCAAATATATATTAATAACTTCAAAGTTAAATTTACCTAGATCCATATTGACTTCCATGCCAAGATCGATAAGGATCGTAGTCTTCAATGATGCTCGGCTCCTTCTCGATAATTTCAGTACGTGCGCATGCGCATGTCATCGCCGAACACAAGAATATATTTATAATCAACATAATAAGGAAGAGAATACCCAACGCAACGCACAACCAGAGCAGCCATGATGGATGCACACTACCATCATCACACAGCTCTTGTACAAGTGGTGCCTCGCCAGGATCCAAGACAAACACACTAGTAGCCGCCATTAAGACACCTTCGTCTGTTACCAACGCCTTAGTTTGTCCGCCACCGTCAGAACAATTTGGGTCTGGGCAAGAGCCTTTACACAAACCAACATCACACTAAAACAAAACACTATTAAGTAAATACTTTTATTAAAAAAATTGGTTCTGTTCCTACCTGGAAATGAACTTCGGAACTTTCGGGAAACCGAAACATTGATTGTAGCTGAGCGTCGGCAATGCTGCGTTTGTCATCATATGTAAAACCCTTGATAACGTTGGGATTGACGGGACATCCGCGTTCATCGATTAGCGGTACACTGCTGTTGAGCTTGTTGAACGCAAAGCATGATTTAACCCGGAAGCCATAAGTCCCATCTGGGCGAGAGATCTCTGCACGCAGCGTATAGGGGCGGCTGTATACCGCTTGCGTGATTTTTCTACCACCATCCAACAGGCGTAATGACACTAACGATGTCTCATTTCGTGCGTTACGGAATCCTGCTTTGCCGCAAGTGATTACATAGAACTTATCATCTGCAAGTTCTAATGTTCGGTGGATTCGTACAGCGATCGGTACTGAACGTTCTTCGGTTTTCTATAAAACAAAAATATTTTGTTAATTTTATGTATAGAAGGTTTTTTTTTTTCATGTAATAATAAATTTGTCCGCCATCTTTTTTCGTTTTATTGTAGTGTGTTCGAGTGTGTCGTCGAAAAACTCACATTTTTACTGGAAAACTATAAAAGCATCATTAACGTCAAATCGCCGTGCGGGTAGCGAAATAAAACGGAAAATCTACGGCGAGTAAAAGTAAAAGCAATCGCAAGAAAAGCAACACAAAATACGATAAAGCCACACGTGCATATAGAGTTGAGGTTATGTCTAGTATCGTGTGCGTGGTGTTGTAACGCGCATTAACGTCGTCAAGATTGCGTTCCGACAATAACAATAAAAGCTTCAAGCGTTTGTCGTGTGTTGTCTGTGTTTATTTGTTCAAACCAACATGTAGCGCCGGAGTATCAAAAAACAAAATGGCGATGTGCTTTTGTTTACACATGTTTGATTTGTTTTTTGTTAGACTTTCATCTGTCGACTGCAGCTGTTCGGTTTTGTTCTCTTCGGACGAACGCGGAAGAATAATCGAAACGCATATTAATGTCTCTATTGTTGCGCGTTGTGCTACAAACGTAACAACAAAACATTTGCTTAAACAAATGTGTTTTGCCTGTTCGCAAATAGATGTCGTTAGTGAGGCAAAAGATGTCAGCATACTGTGTAGCCATTTTGTGGCAAATGAAGCGGAAAGAATGCAACACCGTGCGAAGAAAAGTGGAAGCGCTGAGCATTACAACAGGAGAATGATTATTATTGATAGCGATGCACCGTTTGATGGGCATTCACGATGCACGTGCGCACAAAGCGGGGTTATTTAGTATTTGCGTTGTTTACAGTATGCATGCGGCGAGCACTGCGAGTTCTCGCACGTCCGTCCGTCAAACGGAATTCGTTCTCGGTGAGTAGCAACTGTACTTTTTGCATTTTTTAGTGCGGCCATTACTTTTACTACCTGATAAACAGTTAGTTAGCCAGGTTAAACCTAGTAACAGAACTAGACTCAAAAATACACTTGTGGTTAGGGCAAAAATGTGTATTGTGTTGCCTAGATTTACAGACAATTCAAATCAAAATTCTTTTGTTATTGCGTATTTTATTTGTTTCTTTTTATTGCGATGAATTCTAAATCTCCTACGTGACAAGAATTAATTTAGATAGCTTAAAATGAGTATATCTGCGCGTGCGCACGTTCATCGATTTAAGTATTTTGCTTCTAAACCACGCGGAGCTAAGCCGAAGAGCCCATAAAAGGTCAAACGCTTGGGCAAACGCTACGGCATCGTTTCGTCGAGGTGAGGTCACGTCCTCGACAGCACGGCTACTCGCCCATCATTGATTCTACACTTCTACAAGTGACAATATAAATAAATTTCCAACAAAAACGAGAACATTCAGGACAAATGAAGACTCGAAAAAATCTTTAATGATCATTAAGGCTAAGCATGAAACTCGTGATGGCTTAATGCATCTTAAACTTAACCTCAATTGTGCACTAGTAATGTGGTTGTGTTCAATGTACAAAGATAGCGACAATGGGTTTTCTTACGTTGTTGACGAGTAATCCACAATAATCAGGAGCGGAGTGCGCCGCCAGCAGGTTGATGTCGAGAGCAATCTGGCGGCCGCCGTCTCCGTGCGTCATGCACGCAGGCGTGCGGTAGTCGCGGGCGTGCACCGCCCCGTAGAAGCTGCCATTGAAGGCCACCTTGATGCTCATATGTCCCGCCTTGCATGTTGCCGTCACCTGTGGCACAAACTCTGTGTCGACCAGTTGACATAGCACCTGAAAAATATTAAAAACAATTAAAAACCATATTTTCATTTCTCAATACATCTATTTTCAATAGAAGGCAAAAGTGACTTGAGAAATAACTTTTACTTGTATTGTTTAATGATTAGTTGAAGAATTGAAGAAATACGATATACGAAGGTCGCTTCAGGCGCCCCCGACGCAATTTGCGACGAGTGCGACTCGCGATGGTGCTCGCGAACTCTTTTGAGATATTTATTGTAATTTGTTTGCTGATTTATGCGCGATACAAACTGAGCCACACATAAACACATTGCACCAAAACAGGTACGTACTAATAGTTCAATACCATCAATCTTTACACTACAATAAACGTTTTTTTCTGAAATAATTTTGTACGATCCGGCCCTGTACACTTAGTAAATGCACGAGCACGCATGCAGAAAATGGACACACGCATAAACGCTTATAAGCATAAACCCAAACGCAAGATGCAATTTCGCACTCTTGAAAAGCGCAACAACCAACAAGTGTGTAACTCGTGTGGTCATCCTTTTCGAAACGAGGACGTCCTTAAGATACACTTTTAATAAGGACATACCGAGAGGTCGTAAATACCAGCATGCATCGACGTATTCAATTTTCAATGTAAAGAATAGCTGCAGAAATAAAAAAGTGTAAAAATTATTAAATAGAAATATCTGCATAACCATTCTGTATTGTTCAATAGTACATAAGTCTATAAATAAAAAAATATTTGTAAAATTAATCATTTTAATTTAACGGTATCTAAATCTTAAAACCAAAGAACAAGGTCATATCAAAAGTGCAGATTGCAGAGAATAAAGAATTTATTTCGAAATAAACGCCAACTAAAGAGTTGAGAAGACCGCTAAAGCTAAAATTGTAAAGAATTATCTCCTGCAGACATCTAAGTCTGCTTATTCTGCCAAGACCAAAGACTGAAGAATGAAGACAAACGAATGAGAATGAGTAGATAATCCTTTGAGGACTCTTTGAGATTATACGCGAAGGTGACACAGACTATTATTCAGCATCAATAAAGAACTAGATTAGAATCGAAACTATTTGTTAAATATAGTACCTTAAACTATTTCTTTTATATTACGATATATTACGGTCCTGCATAATTATTGAAACTTGTTTTATTTCATTTGTTAATCACTGAGGTATTATATTATTTTATATTCTGTACTAGTTTAGACATTTGGTTAGGTTTAATATGAAAAGTTGTTAAATTACGTAGGCACGCAACCAGATGTACGTACGTGTCACGTAACAGACAACCCACACATGCTGCCTCGATTCAAGTATTTAAACGTGTTTATAATGCGATCGAATGTGATATAACAGCGTAAACGCCATAAAAGACAAAAACCGAAGCCAGATATTCACATTCACGCACATATCGCACCACGCGAATTCCCAATCACGTACACAGGCCCGTCCTAAAACTCATTCGCAGCTGTTTTTTTATGAAATGTTTAATTATAGCGAAAATTACAAAGGTGTGGTTTATGGCATCCAGTTATTTATTTTTTCTACATCAATTTAATATTCTGATATATCAGACTTGGTGGTAGTTTCGTCATAGCTCATACCTTAATAGCATTAACGTCAAGTCGAAGCCGGACGTTTTTTTTCACGTCCTCCATATTATTACTTCTTGTTATACTTCGACGTTTTCTTGTCGTTTTCTCTGCGCGCCGTTTATCCGCTGCAGATATCTCGCGACTTATCTTGTTTTATTGCATTCGCTTGTTCGCCGCGCGACGTTCACTTTCGATTCCACTTGCGAGTCCATCGGCTGCTTTGCGTTTCGCTTTCGGGCCGCGTTCGAGTTTAATAATTGGTATATCGACGCGATAAATTAACCAGGAATAAAAAAGAAACAAAATCAGCGACGAGAAAATGATGAAATCGACAACTGGTTGGCATAACGTGCGATATTGCTAAGAATTACTACTGAAATTAAAAAAAAAGCTGCGTTCAAGCTTTAAGCCCGTTAGATGTCTCTACTTTGATTATAAATCCATTAAAACCATTTCCTTTTATTATTTTGTGTTATAATCTTATTTAATTACTATAATACAGTCGTTATCTATTTTATATATTCACAAAACATGATTTTGTACTCGGCGCACGTTTTAATTATTGCTCATATCGTAGATGAAACAATGCATGACCGTATTTAACATGATTTAATGTTTTCGCCGCGTACGTTCATAATAATTACGCGGCGTAAAACCGCTAATAACAAAAAAAATCCCTCCGTCCCTTCACAGCGACTAATTGAAGTGTGCGCGGTGCATTACTCGTCTGTAGATTCACTCACACGCATCAGCTAGTTGTAATCAAAAATGGCGAACGCTTACGATCATCGCTACCATAGTACATGTATGCTTGGTTGCATATATGCCTGATTTATACGCTCATACTCGCACTGACCAACAATTAATTATGATACAGTAATTCGTAATTCTACGGCCGTGTTTAAAGCGTGTGCGCATCATGCGCACACATGTTAATTAATGACTATGAACTTAAAATGCACAGAATTAAATTTTGTGCATCATGCAAGAATGAAAAAATGTATGCGATTAAAAATGCGGAAGTAAATTTGCAAATTCGAAATGGCGATGCACTGATCTTGACCGAGCAGAAAAAATTGCACTGCAACTATGTTACGGTTGTTATTTTTCTTGCTCTTCAAGATCGACTGATTGCTAATTATTGCACACGAGTACTAATATGCAAGGTAAGCACATTTATGCAAAACACTGACCATTAGACACTAATTAAATTATGATAATTTCAAACAATATTTAAATGATGTACATCATTATTAACTTAATAAGTATTTCCAAAATAAACGTTTTTTGTTTGTTTTTATGTTTTGTACCATAGATTTAATTGAATACGTTGAACACTTGCAAAATTGAATTATGCGTATGTCATCTCTGCCGTCGTAAATCATGCGCAGCCGTCGCGAGCCAGTAACATCATTATTATTAAATTTAATTGTGCGTTTAGAGATAAAGACAACAAGTGCGGTCTGTTGGCCGTCTATCTGTAATTGAAGTAATAAATAACTCAATTAGATTTCTCGATACACGAATACAGCCAACCACTAGACCGCAGGTAATGCCATCGACAGAAAACTACGTACAAAAAAAGTAAAAGAAATTAAAATGAAGCCGACAACAACAACGACAACGAAATTAAATGAAATTACATCTCTTCCATGTAATTTATTGTGCAAGGATTTAAATGTCTTGCCTTCAAAGTAATCTATTTTTATTATAGGCAACTCAACGTGCACAATGCGCTATTCTAATTATTCATCTGCTGGAAACAATTACAATGGAATGTCACGTGTTGTTTATGTAAATATTCGCCAAGAGTCATTTGTTCGTAGAAACCACATTCATATTCATACATCCATAGAATGGCTGCAGGCATGCAGGCCTGCAGGACGACTGATGACTCAAGAAAAACACTTCGCACAAAAAAAAAATGCGTTAAATGTTGCGTAATAGTTTGGCGAGCAAATGATGCCCACACCTTTTGCAGACACTTTTAAGTAGGTACATAGTCGACCATGATGATGACTGAAATGGCCAGATGCGCCACGCGATCGTTAAATGATTAAACATTTCAATATTTAAATATTTAAATATTGTAAATATTTTAAACACACGTTGCAGTTTCCGCAACCGTTAATTTTTTTGTTGCATTCATTTTTGCATACGCTTTGCACGCATCGTCTTGGCTTTCAGTTATTTTTTTTCTGGACGTTGAGCAATAATTTCCTCTGGTAAAGGTTATGATTAAAATATTAGTCACGCCCTCTACCCGTCACAACATAATGATGCATTTAAGTAGAAAAGTTGCATAACTTTCCTATTTTCTTGTACAGTGTCATTAAAACAAATAAAAAATGCGTTTTGTTTTATTTGTTGCTGATTTAAACAAACAAAAACTCAATAAAGTGCATTGCACCTGATATTTTGAGTTATGCGTGCTTGAAAAGTAAAAGTGATGAGTTTCATGACACTGCGCGACACAGCCGCTCGCAATTGTTGGTAATAATCATTACAACAATTACTACGATCAGCTAGAGTCAACCGCCATCATTATTACTTCATTTGGTTACATTTCATTTCACTTCGTTTGTGGACTTTAAAAATTGCTGATTTTACGGCTGTTACGAAGTGAAGTCGTAATTTATTGCATAATTATTGGCTTTGTTTCATTGATTTCGATGTCAACAACCAACTAACCAAACATCGAAAGTAAAAACCGTCGTTTTTTTTTCACTGTAATAAAATGGTTGATGATGATGTTCATGTTATGACATACTTTTCACAATTTTCACAGTAAATCCAAGAAAAATAAAAACGAAAACATTAACTTATGACTTCAACCAGACGTCTGTGTTAACGCAAACAAAAGATCAAAATTCTCATCATTATCATTACGCGTCAGCGATTAAATATTTTCATCGCGTTGTGCTCCACTTTGTTTTCGAATATTTTTCGCACATCATAGAAAGTTGTGCATAGTTTTCTCGACAGGTGAGCAATAATTTTAATTTCAGTTGTTTTGTAATAATTAATCGTAAAGCAACATGTTTAAAATGACATGTTACATAAGCTACTGTCATTAATATCACCTCAAATGTAGATTATTTTTAATTTAAATTTAAATTTGTGATTTATGAAGATCTTTAAACCTTAGTTGTATAATACGCAATTATTCTAAGAAGTAATTTATGCAATTATTATGTTGTTCGTGGTTTGCATTGCATTCGTGGCCTAAAAACAAAAACCGGATGCAATCGCAAATTGCAATATTGCGGTAGGTAAATTTTATTGTTAATTATATAAATAATAATAAAGTCGCTGGTTGTACTGAACGCGGATGTGCATTGTTCATTGCTACAAAGTGCATGGCAAACTCGTGCACACTATCGATTACAACTTTCATTTAACTATAATTTTACTTTTAAT